AAAGATTCCACACATCCCCAGGTAGCGTGTTTAATATCTCACAATTAAGAGGGCTCAATTTATGTTGAATAGAGATTTACGCCCCAAAACCAACTTCTTCCTCAATGCCATCTTACCTTAGTTTCTTTTCTTTTCTTGTAATAATATATGCAATCAGCCTTGAGTTTTAAGATTTTTTTTTTTTTTTTCTTTTTTGAGATGGAGTTTTGCTCTTGTTGCCCAGGCTGGAGTGCAATGGCATGATCTTGGCTCACTGCAACCTCCATGTCCCAGGTTCAAGCGATTCTCCTGCCTCAGCCTCCCGAGTAGCTGGGATTACCTGCCTGTGCCACCTTGCCCAGCTAACTTTTGTATTTTTAGTAGAGACAGGGTTTCACCATGTTGGCCAGGCTGGTCTCAAACTCCTGACCTCAGGTGATCCATCCGCCTTGGCCTCCCAAAGTGCTGGGATTACAGGTATCAGTCACCTGATCCGGCCAAGATTTCTTAATCAGTGGTGATAATTGTTTTTGTTTCACCGGTAACTCATTCAGGTGAAACTCATTCAGTTTTATAAGACAAACATCAAGGAATCCAATGGAAAATGAGGTGAAGGCATAAAATAGCAATTTATACAAGAGGAAACAAAAAGAGCACAGCAACACATGGAATAAATCGACTGCTTTACTAGGGATAAAAAGTACAAATAACCGTTAAATTAGTTATTTTTTCCTGTAATCTAATAGCTCCCAGTGTTTGTGAGATTACGGTAAAATGATTCCCTGCTGATGGTAGTGAAACTTTTGCAAAGTATTATAGCATGCATATCAGGAGCCATAAAAATGATCATACCCTTATACCCTATGCCTTTGTTCCTGGAAATTATCCAAAGAAATAATTGAATAGGGGGGAAAACCCTAAGACCTAGATTAATGAAAATGTTCATTGCAGTGTTATCTATAATGTTTTACAATTTTTTGAATAAAGAGAAGCAATGTAACTGTTAAACACCAGAGAACCAATTGGACAAATGTTGGTGTATGGACTCAACATACAGTACTATGTAGCCATTTTAAATGATCATTAATAGAATTGTGTGATATTATAAAAGTTCTTATGCTATAACATGAGCTATGAGAAACTAGAATACAAAATTGCATATTACAATTGACCTGTGAAAATTAATATGTACATGAACAAAACCAAAAGGTAGTGTACAAAATAAAAATGCTCTTCTAGTTTAGTGGGGTTGTAGGTCATTTCTTTTCCTTTCTCAGAGCTTTCTTTAAACTGGTGTTATATTGTCTTAGTTGTTTAAAAGAATAGGTTAAAACAAAACGGCACAGGCAGTCTGAGCTGGGGATTGAGAGTTAAAGGACCTGAGTTTTCTTCTTTTTTGTTTCCCAACATAATGTGTTTTGGCTGTCATTAACCTCAGTTTCTCCATCTGCATGATGGGTTAACACTAGTTTTCTTTACCCCAGATTGACAGAATATTTATTTTTATAATGCTTTTAACTCATTGAATGCAAGGATTCATATAAATTTGGTCCTGGGAGAATGAAGGGCAGGAGGGAAAGGAAAAAATAAACAGGCATAATTAATTTTAAAAGGAAAGATCATCTGCTTTAATCGGAAATGTATGTGTACTGTGCCCCTAGTCAGAGTTTTAAGTGCACTTCGTGTTAGTTAGCAACTTCAATTTAAAGTGCTGTGTGATCCTCTGGGCTTTGAAGATATGAAGCCTCTATACATACACATGAGCTAAAATTACCGCATAATCACGAGGATGTGTGCACTTTGAATAATTAAATGCACTAAGCATCTCCAGCTGATGGATTGATGATGTGGGAGAGTAGTGCAAAAACCACATGACACGGAAGATTACAAGACATTTTGAAATGATAGCTGAATTTGCAACCTTTTTTTTTTTGTTTGCTTGTGCTTTCTCTTTTAGCCATTATGGTCAAGTAAAAGAGATCTGATTATCTTGTTTCCTGTGAAAGGTTATTTAGCCCCTCAATCCCATTAAGTCACTTTCTGCACTCCAGTGCACTGAGCCTTGGTCGGGTTATCAGCCCAGGAAGAGTAAATGGAGACACCAGGATCGGATTTCTAAAGGAAGGAGAGTTAAAGCAAAGTTTGAAAGGGGTGACAGCCAACAGCCACGAGCTTAGGAACTCAATTAGACTAAAAAGACAACTATCTCATTATCTCGTTCCGAAATGATCTAAATACATAAGAATCTAAAAGTTTTAAATAAACTTGTCCTGCCGACTGTCTAGATGACTGAATTTCCCTTCTCAAAAAATTTTTAAACACCCGCTTTCATATTTATTTATTCTAAGCGTGAAGCAGCTGCGATAATTATGCTGTCAGCCTTGGGAAGCTAATGAGGAGCCACCAGAGTGGAAGGTTTTGCATTTGTGAGATTGCTGAAGGAGAGCCGTGTACAGCTTTTTTCGTTTTTTCTTTCCCTTTCTTTCTTTCTTCCTCCTTTTTCTTTTTCTATGAGTTGGGAAGGAGAGCCTGGCAGTCCACGGCCAAATTGGAATCCCTTTGATTAACCGGTTGCCTTCCCAGCATGTTCTGCCAGATAGTGTCTCTCTCTCTCTCTCTCCCTGCTTTTGAGGAGCTGCTGCTTTTAAGGGGCAAGGAAGCCGAAGGGAAATCCCAGCTTTTCATGCCACTGTCCCCAAGGCAAGAGGATACTTCTCCCCGAGAGAAGTTCCCCAAATGGTTTGGATTTGAGTTGATTTGAGAATAATCGGTAAAGTATACGCACTGTTTATTTTAGCCGTTTAACTGTCTATACTATGACAAGATCTAAAATAAAGTGGAATACAAAATTGCATATTATAATGTCCTTGTGAAAGAGTCTTATACATATCAACAAATGGTATGATGGCTCCCCTTTCCAGCCTAGCCAATATGCGATTCCAAATACAAGAAGACCAGACCCCAGATTACCCACAGCATTTAAGGGCACGAGTTTAGGCCAGGCGAGGCAGAGCTGGCAAGTTTCTTTCTTTTTTTTTTGAGACGGAGTCTCGCTCTGTTGCCCAGGCTGGAGTGCAGTGGCCGGATCTCAGCTCACTGCAAGCTCCGCCTCCCGGGTTTACGCCATTCTCCTGCCTCAGCCTCCCGAGTAGCTGGGACTACAGGCGCCCGCCACCGCGCCCGGCTAGTTTTTTGTATTTTTTAGTAGAGACGGGGTTTCACCATGTTAGCCAGGATGGTCTCGATCTCCTGACCTCGTGATCCGCCCGTCTCGGCCTCCCAAAGTGCCGGGATTACAGGCTTGAGCCACCGCGCCCGGCCTAGCAAGTTTATTTCTTCCCTTTGGGTGTGAGCAGCTTCCAGCAAACAGTACTATTAAGGCATTTTATGCTTTTGGTGCACTAAGGACAGAAGCCTCTCTTTTTGTTAAATTGTGAGATATTTTGAGCAACCCAGGTTTATGCAAATTGTGAACCTGGGAAAAGCAATGCCCAAGTGGAAGGGGGCCCTGAGCAAATTCTGTGGATGTGCTTTGGCGACAATGTGGCTGCTGCCTCTTGCTATTTTTCTCAGATATCTGCGCTAATACTTGTAACAATGGCTACCATTTATTAAAAACATATTGTGTATCAGAAACTAACACAAGGTGTTTTGCATATATTGTCTTATTTAAGCTTACAGCAATCTGCCAGGAACTTTTATTTTCCCCACTTTTCAGATAAGCCCCTTGCAATGTCAGCTTTTGGAGGAGTTGGCCCATAGCTTTAGTGTAGTGAGCATTCAGGAGTAGCAAGCACTTAACAAACACAGGCACTTGGGAAAATGTGAACTGCCAGTATTCTGAGCTAACCAAATACCTGATTTGGACATCAAAGGTAGTATATATATTTTCAAATGGTTGTGTTTTTTTTTTGTTTGTTTTTTTGTTTTTGTTTTTGTTTTCAATTTGGAAGCTGCACCTTAGAGTCTATATAAATAGATTTCCAGCTGGGCACCGTGGCTCACGCCTATAATCTCAGCACTTTGGGAGGCTGAGGCAGGTGGATCACCTGAGGTCAGGAGTTCAAGACCAGCCTGGCCAACATGGTGAAACCCTGTCTCTATTAAAAATACAAAAATTAGCCAGATGTGGTGGTGCTTGCCTGTAATCCCAGCTACTGCAAGACTGAGGCAGGAGAATCACTTGAACCTGTGAGGTGGAGGTTGCAGTGAGCCGAGATTGCACCATTGCACTCCAGCCTGGGCAACAGAGCGAGACTCTGTCTCAAAAAAAAAAAAAAAAAAAATTGCCTAATGTATCTAATAAGATTGGAAACTTTCTAAAACGTATCTAGCTCAGCGGGATGCTCATTGTCTATCACTCTCTAACTAACATCACCCTCTAACGTCCGGACTCCTTGACATGACATTAGCTCCCTTCACTATCTGGTTCCGACCATTTTTCCAACTGTATCTCCCAGTCTGTCTTGTTCTAACCATGCAAGATGACTTGCAGTTCCCTCAAACACTTTTCTTCCTTCATGCCTTTTCTCATGCTGATCCCTCAACCGGGAATATCCTCCTTGGCAGTCCTTTACTATGGAGGGCATAGTCATCCTTCAGGTCTCAAAGGGCACCTTGTCTATGCTCTCCTTGTCCATAGACTGGAGGGAGGGGTTATCATAAGCCTTTGTTTGTGCCTCACTTTTGGTCCTTGTTTGTATGTGTATGTGTGTGTTCCTCCCAGTTTTATTCCTATTTTTATCATCTTCAACACATAGCATATTGCCTTGCACAAGTGTTCACTTGGTAAATATGCATTAAATTGAATTAAATAGAAGGCAGTTGCCAACTATTGGATTCAGTAAAGTGAGTCATCTATGAGTCAGTATGAATTATTAGTAAATAAGTCTGGCTCATGCTTTGACATTTCTTCAGGTGACAAATATTACAACAGACAAAAATATACCACAAAAGATCCCAGGAAATAACATATTGGTGCTTCTCTCTTTTCATTCCTACAGAGGAGTCTTTGTTTACAGTTTCAGGAGTGAGGCTCAAGCCAGAAATGTGTGACCTTTTGGCCTCCTACCAGAAAGGTCACCACCCAGCCCAGTTTAGCAAACGCTGATGAAAAGAAAGGGCGAGATCACCAAGGTTCTTCCAGGTAAGTGATTGCAACAGTGAGGTTCCTTATGGACAAAATTGAAATGCAATTGGTGCCAAGTGGAGAGGACATTGCTCAGGGATTCAGAGCACCTCTGTGCTGTTTCTAGTTCTTCCTCACCAACTCTAGGACAGGTGGCCTTGCCCCTTCAGGCCTCCATTGCCTGGGCTGGGCAAAGAGAATAATTACATGCATTGCCTGTCTCTTCCACTCCTGGAGCAGGGATAAAGTTCCTAAGACAGAACTTCTAAGCTTCCTCATCAGTGTGAAATCTTCAGCTGACACAGGTGGGATGAAGGATTAGAACTGTTTTCCCTTAACTAGGGAGTTCTCACTGTCAACTGACAGGGCAAAATTTGTCCTGATAAGGGTAACCAACTGTCCAAGTTTTCCCCAAGACCAAGGGGTTTCCTGGCTGTAGGATGCTCAGTACTAGAATTGGCACAGTCCTGGGTAAACCAGGATGGTTGGTCACTTTTGTGGCACAAATTACCTTCCAGGGTAATCTTGAGTAGGAAGGGGTGCTGTGAATGATTTTCCCAAAGCCACTATACCCCTTAAATGAGTACTGCTAGCAGGCACAGGAAGCCAGGTGGGACAACTCCAAAAGTCACCATAGTATAGACAACCCTGCAGATGTCTCAAGAGCACTTCCCATACTGGGGCTTCCATGATGGTAGATGGAATCAAGATAGAGGAATCAAGGTAGAGCCCACATGCAGAGCCTGCCAGCCAGCCTGCCCGCCCGTTAGGTGACCCTGGCTATATCCCAAACCACAAGCATTATCCTATGATTTGGCCACCCATTTGACAACCACAGCTTGGCCATGCTTCCCAGGGGCCTAGATGGTAACCACTGGCATCTCCCTACATACCCCCGAACACTATCACTCACATGGCTGGATTAACTCTTCATTCTTTCTTTTGATCTCTATCTTTGGCTGTCACAATTTAAAGGCATATACACATTAAAGATATCTGCTTCCTGGCTCTTCCAAGATCATTGTCTTGTCTTCAAAGAGCAGGGCAGTTTTAAAATTGTAGCTGATCCTCAGGGCATTTTATGAAATACCTAAGTTTGTATTTTGACAATACACATTTAGAATTACAATTGGTGATATAATATGGTATTTCCCAAGCAAAATATTCTCTAGAGCAGAGCTTTCACTGTATAATTATTTTAAACCTGCTAGTTACAAGGACAGAATGAACTTTAGCCGCATTCTGTGAAGTGGAGGGCTTACCCTTCATAAAATTATCAAAGACACTAATGGAAATGGACTCAGATGGTGGTGCTCCATTAACATTATTATTATTTCTATTGTTGTTATTTTATTTTATTAAGCAACTGGAAGGTAGGGAGATAACCTTACCTTACTGATCTACAGTGACCTTCCACAAAGAACTGTTACCTGTAGATATAAATTGGTTACAATAGAAAATCAATTAAATGCAGCGTGTCAAGCTTGTGGGCTGCACCAGCAATTGAAGAAGGGAGAAGGCAGATTTCGCCTCTGCTGGAGTAATCTCACGATGTCCCTAGGCCTTGGTACGAATATAAGGAGATAAAACCGAGATGAGCCACAAGAGGGAAAAGCTAGAGCAATTAAACTGTTTAATAAATGGCTTGGGATCAGCAAAATCTAGAGTGCTAGAGTTAAAGAGACTAAAAGCAGTAATCACATGGACACTTGGGGCCTGTAAATCTTTTCCAGTGAATTGAATTTATGTTAAAATATTCACTTTTCAGGAGAGTCAAAATGTAAATTGGGATATTAGGACTTCGTAACTGGCAGCAATGCCTCAAAATTAAGATTCTTGAAAGAGCTTCAAAATGTTGGTTTCAGGCAGGGAAGAAATGTATACTAATGTCTACAACAGAGAAATAGAGGGGAACTAAAATTTACTGGATAGATACTACACACCAGGCAATACAGTAAGGGCTTTACACCTACTCTTTCAAAGCTCAGCATGTTTTGAGCAGTCGGTGGTGAGTTACAATGATAGTTTATAGAATCTATCTGGAGATAGATTTTGATTATTTGTAAAGGTTTCTCAGTTCTTATAACCAGGGTTAAGATGCTGCCTCCCTTATGCTTTATCATTACCTTTTCTATTAAGATATATAATGCCATCAATAACTTTGCAATGTTTAACTATTTTCCTTCATCAATACTCTGTTGTTCATTATTTTGATTGTGTTTATTTTTCATTCACTTCCAGGGCTGTATTTCTGCAGTTTTGATTTTCATTTGCTTCAGCCTACTAAGAAGTTTCAAATATAACTCCATACTGAACAAGGGGTTTTATGCCCTCACCTATGACCTGGAATAGTTTAAATATGATGTTCGAGGCAACAGTACATAATACTGGAGGAAAACGCAATGGAAGGTTATTGCTATTGTCATTTGCCTAGAATTTAAGTGATTGATTTTAAAAAATTAGACATAAACTAAGATAGTCTGAGAAGAGGACTTCTGAATAATTTCATTCATTTTGCCATTTGATAAGGGATTCCTGGGCTAGAAGGTTGATTTCCCAAAAAGACAGATAAGAGACTGATAATGTGACAAGAATCTGGAGACAGAGCTGGTGCTTACAGAGACCTGCCACTCCTGTGTTCGCTTACAGTGTCTCCCAACAAAAGGATTTCTGTGGCAAAGAGAAAACTAGTCTAAAGTTTAGAAAAGTCTCCAGGGAAGACGGTTTCTTGGATAACATTGTCAACAACAGGACTTCCTGAGGACTATTTATTATTATTTCGTAGGGGGCACTTCCTCACTCACTAAAGTGGATTATCAGAGCATACTACCACCCAACCCATATTTTAGGAATTTGGATTTGGCTGCTGATTAGAATTGAATTTCAGGCTATCTCCTCCTACTGAATCTCAATTGTCTGTGATGATGGCAACAGTGATGGGGAATCTAAGCACTGGTTTGATGGTGGAGATATTGAATAAATAGATGGGAGCAGAGTTCCAAAGATATAATTTAAGCCCTGTTGCACCACCACCACCACCACACACACACACACACACACCCCTCAAGTAAAATGAGAGATCTGTCTTAGCTAACATGTGTGCCGTTTTATACAATGACTCCTTCTAAAAGAAGCCAGGGAAACTCAAATCACTTCTGTCTATGGATCATCTCAGGAAATGTAGTAGCCTAGAAACCAGAGACCTCTGTATATTCTTTGGAAGAACAAGGAGGAACTAATTAAGAGAGAATTAAAAAATAGTAACTATCCCCCACCGTCTGAGATGGGAAAAGGAAAAAGACACATAGGTAGCCCAAATCAACCTGCCTGAGTAAGTATTTGATTTTAGTAAGGCATTTGACAAAGCCTGTCCAACTGTACCTGAAAGATGAAACGGTGTGGGTTGGGTGATGGAGCAGATATATGTACTCAAATCATGGTAGTTATTTAACCCAGAGAAAGGCCAGCTGTGGTGTGCTACAACGTTCAGTCTTGAGTCCTATTCTGGTCAAATATTTTTATTAATTACTTGAATAAATCAGAGTACTTGGACAACTTATTCATACAACTGCTTAGAGTAAGTACTATTATTATTAATTTATGACTTCCATTTCACAAAAGGCGAGACTGAGGCTCAGTGAAGTTAAATAACTCCTTCATAGTAGCATGCCAGACTTAAGATGCAAACCTCAGACCTGGCTCTCCAATGTTCCTGATACCTATCAAATTTAGAGAATATATAACTCTTGCAGAGGCAGCTGCTATTTAGTATTGGATCACGATTCAAAAGACACCTTGCTAGAAGCCAATGAACAGCAGGCCAAAACAACGCTTATTTCCATCAAATTTCATCTGACTTAAATTCTTACACTTTGGGCTACAACTTAAAAAAAAGGCTGTGACTTAGTGGAAATTGGCACTTTTAAGTACAATATGAATTAATAGTATAATTTCGCTGTCCCCCAAAGATAATGCTAGTACCAATTGGAAGCTCAGGGATGCTACCGTTGATGCATCAGCAAGAGTTCTTGAGCAGCTTCACCTGTCCATCAGTACACTGAGTTCCCACAACAGGAGTGGGATTCCTCTGCCTCCCTGAAGATATGAGAGCTGTAGGAGGGATTCCCATGTTGGAGGTTAGAACAGCTGACCTCCAGTGTCCCATCTAATTCCAAGATTCTCCAATAATGAGTTTGGAACAGCTGTGGACAGACTATACTTGGAATTATGGTTAGATACTATTGCTGCAGGAATGGATAGACAAATTTGGTTTTTTAAAAATTGATTTTATTACGTGGAAGTTGACAGAATTATCCTCTTTATAATGGAAGATACATTATGCTTATGCATATGCATATACATTATGCATATGATTATGCTTGTGCTTCCTTCTTTAATGGATTTACCTATTCAAAAGCTTAATAAAAAGTATAAGACTCTAAAACATTTAAATCTTTCATTTCTCAGTTTTATCAAATAAACATTCCTGGAATTTGTGCATATTTTTTCATCCCATGTTTTTGTTGTTTCTTCTGTATAGACAAACACCAGACTTTTAAAAACATAATTTATTTTTGTTCAGTTTGAGGCACTAGTTATTTTAGTAATGCTTACTTAGCCACTAGTGCTATTCACCTAATATTTCTGTCTTCCAGGCATCCATAATGCAGTGGCACTTCTTGGCTCTCGGATGGCTGGATATGGCCATGTGGTTAGTTTTAGCCAATGAATTGTGAGGGGAGGTGATCTGTGTCACTTCTGAGCCAAGCATTCATTTGATTGCCAGCATAAGACCCTCCAAATTTCTTTCCTTTTTTTCTTTTTTGTTTTGTTTTTTGAGATGGGGTCTCACCATGTGGCCTAGGCTGGTGTGCAGCAACTATTCACAGGTTATGATCATCACACACTGCAGCCTCAAACTCCTGGGCTCAAGCAATCCTCCTACCTCAGCCTCCCAAGTAGCCAGGACTACAGGTGTGCACCACCACATCTGACTCAAATTTCTTTTTACTTTTCCCTCAGTTCCAGTGACCAGGAGTGTTTAAGATGATCCCAGAATGAGGAGATGTAGAATAGAGTTCCCGGATGACATATGATGAAGGTGTGGTGGAAGAGAGAAGTAAAACTTTATTGTTTTAAGCCGCTAAAGTTTAAGATGATCCCAGAATGAGGAGATGTAGAACAGAGTTCCCGGATGACATATGATGAAGGTGTAGTGAAAGAGAGAAGTAAAACTTTCTTGTTTTAAGCCACTAATATTTTGAGGTTATTTGTTACTATAGTGTAACTAGTCTATCCTGACTGCTACCAGGACACATAAAACACACACCTGCACTATGCAACGTGGGAGCTACTAGGAACATGTGACCATTTATATTTACATTTGAATTAATTATTAAATTAAATTTAAAAATCAGTTTCTCAGTCAATGTTCAATAGCTCTGAGGCTGGTGGCTGCCATATTGCATGATGCAGCTACAGAACATTTCTATTATTGCAGAAAGTTCTATTGAACGGTGCTGACATAGAGTGTCAGGATTTATGTGAAAGTTGATAGTGATGTCTTCTAACATTTCTTGATATTTTAAGTGTGCATTTAATACCACCTTGAAGTTAGTCTTGAAAGGTTTTGCCTTTTAAAAATAAAATCTCTGAGAGCCTCCAGTGGATGCTGGAAGAAAATAAATCACTCTGAAAAGTTACACTTCTTAGAACCAAATAACTCAGAAGGTCTTTTCCTGAAGGTTACATTGACAGAGAAGATGAACACCTTTTGTTTAGTTTTGACACTTTTCATTAATAAATTCCGAGGGCAGTTTTATTTTGGTCCATCCTCCCTGATTTTCTGCATGTTTTCTACTTCTAACTCTTCTCTATCCCTAAATGGGTTAATGTGCACCTGATGTAAGATCTCATGTGCTCAGTAATGAAATCATCCAAGTTTATTATCATCCTTGTACACAATTGTTTCTATTGTAAGAACTATTAATATCATTGGATATTACAAGAAAATCTTGTAAGTAGACCAAAATGGAACTAAGATATAAAATAATCCTTCTCATTAATTATTCAACAAACATCCAGGCAATAGAAATACAAAGATTAACAGTTTCCCCAAGGATCATATAGTCTAATGGAAAGTTAGCTTTAAATAAATATAAGATCCAATGACAACATATCAATCTACCCTGTCACAGAGGAGATGATGTAGGCTTTGTCTTGAAGGGAGAGTGTGCCAGGCAGACAATTGAAGAGATAAGAAGATCCCCAATGTAAGGGTGTTATAGAAAGGACAGGAGCTGGGAGAGGTGACATGAACCTGTATTTCCAGCTACTCAGGAGACTGAGGTAGGAGGATCCCTTGAGCCTAGGAGTTTGAGGCTGCCTGGGCAATACAGCAAGACTCCATCTCTAAAAAATAATAATAATAATAAAACTAATAAAAAAGAAAGAACAGGTTGTTTGGGGTTGTAAGGAATTGAAAACCCCAATTCAATGGCTTAACCCACAAGGGTATTATTTTACATAAGAAGCCTAGAAGTAGGTGGTTCCAAGATTGATTCATTTGATGGGTCGATGACATCACAGGGACGTAGGGTCTTTCTATCTTTCTTCAGTGCATCTTCAGTGTCCTTCATTGCCTTAGTCCTCAGGCTGGTTCCTATCATGGTCACAAGATCCTGCCACAATTCCCAGCATCACATGCAGACATGTCTACATCCAGTTGAAGAAGAGACCATCTCTTCCTGTATGCTTCACTTTAAAAGAAAGCACAGGCCAAGAGCAGTGGCTCACACCTGTAATCCCAGCACTTTGGGATGCTGAGGCGGGTGGATCACGGGGTCAGGAGTTCAAGACCAGCCTGGCCAAGATGGTGAAACCCCATCTCTACTAAAACTACAAAAACTAGCTGGCCGTGTTGGCAGGTGCCTGTAATCCCAGCTATTCAGGAGGCTGAGGCAGGAGAATTGCTTGAACCTGGGTGGCAGAGGTTGCAGTGAACCGAGATCGTGCCACTGCACTCCAGCTTGGGTGACAGAGTGAGACTATCTCAACAACAAAAAAAAAAAAAAAGAAAAAAGAAAAAAAGAAAGTACAGTTCTCTTTATATCTTACTGATCAGACTGTCACATACCTGCTTCTGAAATGCTAGCAAGGGGAATTCGATGGCTGCTTTAGAATGTTCAGGATTTCCTCCTGATCTGAAGCTAGGACCACCTCTCCTGAGGGGCAAATTCCTAAATAGTCATGACAACCTATCGGTCTGCCCTATCACAGAGGAGATGACTGAGGAAGAAGTGGGTACAGACTGTTGGGCAGACAACCAATAGAATCTGCCACAGCAACTAATTGACCGTGGGGCTGTGTGGTGTTGGGCGGGGGCAGTGGGAGGTGAAGAATGGGCATAAGGTTTCCAATCTGGGGGCCTGGACAGCTTGTTACAACATTCACAGTTGGGTACTTCCTTTGAGAGAGACAGTTATGAGCTCACTTCTAGACATCTTGAGTTTGAGGTACTGGTGTGCATAAGATGATTAGAACTGCCAGCCTGGGAACAGGACATGGAGATGGCTGTGACTGTGTGTCATCTACACACTGATGGTCCTTGAAGTCCCCAGGATGTGACTGCCCAAGAGAACATATCTGAAGAGAGGAAGCACAAGAATTGTACCTTGGGAAAGCTCGTATTTAGAGCATGGAGATGGAAGAATCAACAAAGGAGACAAAGCATTAGTGGTTAGAAATTGGTAGAAAGGGGAGGTGTTGCAAGGAGAGGGGAGGAACTAGAACCATTCTGTGTGACAGAAATTAACAAGAACGTTCCAAGATTGAGTAGCCTGCAGAGAAAACCATCAGGAAGGTGCAAAGAAAGGCCGTGGATTTGGGAGGCTACCGGTCCTTGGTAACCTACAAGGGAGCAGCTTCTGTGGCATGGTGGTCATAGAAAAGCATGATGGATTAAAGAGACAGTGACAGGTATGAAAGCAGAATCAGGGAATATCTTTCAGAAATTCTTGCATAAAAGGATAGGAAAGATGGAGGACTCACTACAGCATGGAAGGACTGATAGGTTTTGTGTTTTGTTGGCATAGGAGAGATTATACATTTTTATGAGCTGAAGAAAAAAGAAAGAAGTTGAAGAATCAGTGGATAATCCAAAAATACCAGGCATGATCCCTTCTCGAGTTCTTGCCTGGCTCGTCCTGCTGCCTAGAATTCCTCTTCCAAATATCCACACATCTTGCCTACTTCAAGCCTTTGTCTAAATGTCCCCAGTTGGTGAAGCCTACCCTGGCCACCCTATTTAATGGGCCACTAATTTGGAAGCCTCCTGCACACCAATCCCCCTTAACCTGCCCTATTTTTCTAAAGCATCTTATCACTTGTTGTTGTGCTCCATAATAGATTTACCGATTTATAATATTTATTGTTTCTATCTCCCCCCAGCTGGAATGTAAGCTCCATGAGGATAGGAATCTGTTTTATTTTATTTTATGTACATTTTTTTGAGATGTAGTCTTGCTCTTCTCACCCAGGCTGGAGTGCAATGGCATGATCTTGGCTCACTGCAACCTCTGCCTTCCAGGTTCAAGCAATTCTCCTGCCTCAGCCTCCCAAGTAGCTGGGATTACAGGCATGTGCCACCATGTCCGGCTAATTTTTGTATTTTTAGTAGAGATGGGGTTTCATCATGTTGGCCAGGCTGGTCTCAAACTGCTGACCTCAGGTGATCCACCTGCCTTCAGGTGAGCCACCACCTCCAGCCTAGGAATGTGTTTTATTCACTGGTGTATCTCAAGCACCTTGAACACTCTCTTGCACGTAGCAGAGTCTAAGTAAACGTCTTTTGAATGAATGAATGAACTCTACCATGTTTCACCTGCAACCTGACACACTTTTTCTCCCTTGCCCTGTACTGTTTTGGCTTTTCTTCATATATGACATACCAATGTATTACATTTATTATGTTTTCTATCTCCCACAGTAGCAATCAAGCCCCACAGGAACAATGATTTTGATATGTTCTGTTACTGATATACCCCAAGCACCTAGAATTGTGCATGACACATAGTCGGTGCTTAGGAAACACGTGGAATAAATGAATCAGTGAAGATTCAGAGATTGAAGGAAATGAGATTAACAGTCTATGTTTGCCTGGGAGAGGGTAAGAGATGCATGTCCTCTGAGACCGGAGAAGAAAAGTACACAGATAAAATATCATCAAACCACTGAGCAGGCGTACAGAATCAGGAGCCAGGGGGTACACAATCAGGCATTTGTTCAAATCTGTCTCTGCCACTTACTAGCTATGCGATTTGGGGGCAAGTTACCTCCCTTCTCTGCTTTCACTTCCTCCTTTGTAAGATAGGAATAATAGTATCTGACTCATAGCGTTGGTGGTGAGGATTAAAAGAATTAATACATTTAAAATATTTTAAAGAAGCTGGACACCGTGGCTCATGCCTGTAATCCTAGCACTTTGGGAAGCCAAAGTGGGAGG